CTCGAATTGCTCCAAAGTTTCCTTTCACAGCTAATTCAGCAACCTTGTTTAGCCAGTTGAATGTGATATCTAGATCCCTCAATTTATGCCCATTTGAAATTCTTCGCTCAAATTCTGACTTGCTATGCTTACGGGCTTCTTTTATTGAAAATATTAGTTCCTCTTCGGTGGGTTCAGAGCTATCCGCCATCTTGGATTTTGGAAAACTTTACCCCAGGTCACGTGCGGCCAAATTGAAAGTTGGCCCAATTTCGAGCAATAATTTCCACGTGTGGATTTAGCAGCCGTGATCACGAGAGCGGTTACACGAAGCAATTTTGTTAGGTTGCAAAATCGGTTGATATTGACAATCTGGTCAATGTTTCTCTCTGGCAGGCTTGCTGAGGTGCTCACAAGTGAGTGAACAGTAGCTTGTGGCTTGTTAACAACTTTGTTGAGCGCGACTTCATCTTCGGACTGAGTTGTTCGATTCTTGGGCCATTCGGTTTTGGGAAGGTACAATTGCGGGCCCTTCCACCGCGTTTCGCAAGTTACGAGGACCTTAGCTGTTAAACCACGCGAGGGTAGATCAGCTGGATTTAGATGACCAGGACAGTGTCGCCATGCTTCTTTGGGAGTTAGACTGCGAATCTCGTCGACTTGGTGCTGAATGTACTGTTTCCCAATCCTTTGGTTTTTGATCCAGCACAATGCGGTCATCGAGTCAGTCCAATAAACTGTTTTGTGAACTTCTGCAATCGATGACTTGAACTTGATGACTAGTCGTACTAGAGATAAAGCGCCTAAAAGTTCCAAACGAGGAATGGTTTGCTTCGTCATGGGTGCCACTTTGGATTTGGAAGCCGCTAATCTCACGTGAATACGACCATCTTTGTAACGCGATCTCAAGAAAACAACTGTGGTGTAGGCGTGTTCGGAGGCGTTACTGAAGGTGTGTATTTGAATTTCAACAGGTGACCCAACAAAATAGTATCGCGGGATACGTACGGTTTCAAAACATCGGATTTCGTCTAATAAGGATTTCCACTTTCTAAGAAGCTCTCCTTGTAGTGTTTCATCCCAGTTGATCTTGCCAATGCAAAGTTCTTGAAATAGAATCTTCAATCCTATT